TGCCAGAATTTTACCATAGCCCTCCAGTCTAGCCCCAAGAGCCTCCTTATAAAAGCCTCCTCTCTCATGGACCAGTTCCCCCAAGAAAACTCCCCATTGATATGGGATTCCCTTCTGTACGCTGTGAATAACACTGGTTAATAAAGGACTGCTTTGGACCTATAGCAGGGCAGAACTTAGCTAGGCAGGGAAGACTGAGATGAATGCTGGGAGAAGGAAGGCAGAATCTGGGAGAAGGAAGGCAGAGTCAGAGAGAAGCCATGCTGCCCCGCAGGAGATAGACACGGGAACTTTATCCAGTAAGCCACAACCTCACAGGGATACACAGATTAATGGAGATGGGTTAAATTAATATGTAAGAGTTAGCCAATAAGAAGCTAGAGCGAATGAGCCAAACAGTGATTTAAATAATGCAGTTTCTGTGTGATTACTTCAGGGCTGAGCAGCCGGGAACAAAACAAGCAGCCTTCCTACAACGCCCTGTGGCTTAATGTACCAGCTAGAGCTTTCATTCCCCCTTTTCTGGCAGAAGTTGGTCAATCTCTGCGTGGGGGCGGGGACATGAAGCAGTTAGGGGGACATCGGTAGATAAGGAAAATGAAAGCAGGCTTCATGAGATGGCTGTTTCTTAGTCCCAGAAAACATCTCAAGGTGAATCAGTGGAAAGGCGTGGGGGCAGGTATCTATCTAAACAGCACAGGGGAGGATCCAGGGGCCATATAAAATACCCAAGCCAGCACCAGGTTGTTGGATTTCCAGCATGAGGCTTCTTATATCCTGGATATAGGAAGTTGTTAGTTTTCTCTGTGGCTTGGTCTTCTGTCTTTCCCAATTGCTAAAGTCTTTGTGCCAGGGAAAGCACTGGTGATCTCCTAGACAACTGCTATCACCCTGTTACAACTGGATTTTAGATCCACAGAAGTGTAACTTAAATATAAATTCCATCTTAAAATTTAACAGCTAGATGCATGTTTATGTCCCTCTTCTATAAGATTTAAATTGACTTGGCTATTCTGGAGTTGGGAAGCACTTCATTACATAAAATGGATAGGTGATCTCTAGATGATGTCTTACAAAATATCCGGGCACTCCAGCCTAGCAAAATTGCTATAAAATTAACCCTGATGCTAACCTTTACAATCGCTTACTCCTTCTGTGCAAGGGTTATAACTCATTTAATTTTACCCTACAGTTCTGTGAGGTAGTCTCATGTACTGTGAACTGCCAGCCCACAAATAACAACATGGAGACTTATTAATTATAAAAGCCTGACCTTAGCTTAGGTGTGTCCTACTAGCTCTTGTAACTTAAATTAACCCTTTTTTTTTATTAATCTACATCTTGCCACGTGGCATGACTTTATCTCTGTTCTGCACATCCTGCTTCCTCTGAGTCTAGTTGGCAACTCTGCTTTCCTTCTTCCTAAAGTTTTCTCTCTACCTGGAAGTCCCACCTGTATCTCCTGCCTAGCTATTGGTCATTCAGCTTTTTATTTCTCCAATCACAGCAATACATCTTCACACACGTGTTCAAATATCCCACAACAGTCAACCTCATTTTATTAAAGAACAGAAAGGTTAAGTGACTTGCCTGAGGTTATACTGCTTGTAGATAGTTCACACTGGAACTTTCAGACTGACTACTAAATATTGTACTATTCCCTTGTCAAAAGGATAAAAACTGAACCCATTGGCTCTTTGTGTTCTGACTCTCCTTGTAAATGTCCTTGACCTACCAGTAACGTCAGTATCATGTGTCAACTTTTACACTTCCCACAATAGCCCTTGATACAGTCAGCCCCATCCTGATTTTCCAGTTGAGAGGATTTTCGACACACTGAGAAGGAATGATTTGCTGCAGCCCTCAGTGTGGAACAGAGATGATTTGAATCCTGACTCACTCTCTAAAGCTCATTTCTTTTGCCCCTCTGTGTTTGGTTATTGATGCCAAATATTGTAAACATGGCCCTGCTAATATTTTGCTTTATAGATCCTGAAGAAGTTTGGTCAAAGTCAGCTTTCTGTTATGTTGTGTCCCTCCCATTAAATAGTTCATACAAAGAGTATAAGTTTCAGGCCACTTGATGCCTCTGGAAAGAATATACAATGCAGAGAATGGCAGGGAGGAGAAGAGGAAGGAGAGAAGGAGAGAAAACTACATAACACATCAGTTGCCACGCTGTGGGTTGTTACCCTCTGGGGATCTAATGACCTTTCATAAGGGTTACTTAAGACCCTCTGAAAACACAGATATTTGCATTATAGTTCATAATAGCAGCAAATTTAGAATAAGCAATTGGGTTCAGTTAGAGCAGACTATAAACCACGCCTGTAAGGTAAATTTGATCAGATTTGCCTTCTGGCAAGTTCTTTCCTTAGAAAAGGAGATACAATCCACAAATGAGTGACTTTGCAATTGGCTTGTTACACTGGAGTTAGGTAAAGTTACCTTTAGCCTGTTTTGAAGTGACGGATGTAAAAAGCCTTACGCCAGGAGGCTGTTTCCCAATGGAGCCCAAGAGAAGGCAGAGTGTACTGTGAACTTACTACAGAAAAGGGTCATAATGACCTAACCTTTGCTTCTTCCTCCTAAATTTTGTGATAAGGTTCTTATGTCAGAAGAGATAAAGTCTGTCCAGGAGTTCCTATGGAGAATCAGATCCTGGGTGTGCACTGGCACACAGAAATGCTCTCCCTTTCCTTTTCATTCTTAAAAATACCAGAAACAGTTAGTTCCCAAGAGATAAAAAAGGTCTGCTGAGACCACAGATTGATAAAGGCCTCCTTAATACCTGTTCACACAGTGCACAATCATTAGTCCAAAAAATAGAACAGACAACAATCACCAGAGAATCTGTGAAAGAAAAGCCACGTTGTGTCAAGGCTTCAGAATGAGGTGGTGCTGCTTCTGCAGTGCTGTGGGAAGCACGTCAAGGATGCTTCACAGAGAAGGGCACTGGGTAGTGCTGCACACTGAATGTGAGTTCGGGTCATCCCACTTGCCTCTTCTAAGAGAGCATGTGATCCAACAGTTGAAACCATGGCTATGAGGAGACCTTGCCTGTTTAAGTGCAGTTTGACCACCTGCAAACTGTCTCAGGTCACTTTCTCAGTCTCTTCCCCCAGTTTCCACGGTCACAAGTACAAATGATAGCAATTATTTTTCTTTCTGTTTTAAAACATGGTTTATTTTGTTATTTTTAATTGTGTCTATAGGTGTGGTCTGTGTGAAGGTATTTGCACATGAGCTGGTGCCCTTGGGAGCTAGAGGCATTGGATCCCCTGGAGTTACAGATCATAACTGTCCCACATGGGTACTGGGAATCAAACCATGGTATTCTGGAAGAGTCGTATGTGCTCGTAAGTGCTGAGTCATCTCCAGCCCACTTTCTGGTACTAGGGATGGAACTCAAGGCACTCTGCACCATAGGCACTAACTATAATAGCTCCGAACTCAAAACTACTTCAACATCACATGGGGCTGGACCCCTTCATAAAAACAAACGCATCAATTATGATAAAATTGAAAATATGAAGATCTGAAACTGTACAGCAACATGAAAGAATCTTACAAATAAATTGTTGAACCAGAGCAGTCAAACAAAAGGAGAATGCACAGGTTATGGTTGGATTCTACATACTAAAAAAAAAATGTATAAACAAAATTAATCTACCATGTTAGAAGTCAGCATAGAGGTTGCTTCTGGAAGAAAGCAGCAACTGCTTGGCAGGATGAAGTGTTCCTAAGTGTTAATAACATTGTGTCTTGATCTAGTGCTAGATACACAGACAGGCTGCATATTGTGAGGACCCCCTGAGCCATATTCAATATGCATCTTTTCTGTATGTCTGTCAGATCCACTACCAATTTCAATAGTTTTATGAAAATTGACTCTCTACCCAACATAATCCTCAAGTCATTATTAGAGTTTGTGAATCATCAACACGAACATTTCTGTCTAAATAGACCAATATTAAATGCACCTGATCTCCAGATGCTCTTGGACCAGGAGGTACAAGTAGGCAACACAACTTAATCATAATTTTTAATAATATTCTAATTAAAACTTTTATCATACAGTGTATTTTGAGCATATTCTTTCCCCTCCTACAGTTCCTTTCAGATCCTCCCCACATCCCTACCCACCCAACTTCGTGTGCTCTCTCCCCCCTAAAAAACAAAAAGAATCCAATTAGATAAAAATATCAAAACAAAATGTGTATACAAGAAAACATGGAGTCTGTTTAGTATTGACCAATACTCCTGTGCCTATGACCTGCCCTAGAGTGTGGTGTTACAGCCCAAAGGGTATCTGCTATTGCCTTCTTGTTAGAACCACGATTACTAGTTCAGTGGAACTCCGCGTCCTGTGTAAAAATCTGCTCCCCAGTGTTTTAGACACACACCTCAGCTGTTCCCCTCTCTTGACATGATTTATTTTTTACTCGTTTGTTTATTTGTTGGCTTGCTTCCACTTCGGTACTTGGCCGAAGATTCTAAGGGCTGTTATCTGACTATCTGAATCAGTTTAGACCTCCAGATCCTAGGCAATGTTTCTTTCACAAAGATGGAAATCCTTATGGCAGGCAGGACAGTTTCAAGCCATCCCAAAATGTCTATTAGTGCAGCCCGAAGAACAGTGCTCTGTGATTTGTCAAAGAACTTGCAAGAAAACTGGAAGGTGTACAAGCGCTATACACAAGCCAAGCGTGGCTGTTATGTTCTCGATTTCTTGGGTCATAGCCAAGATATCTCTGGCCTAAGCAACCAACACTCCCGGGCATCTCTAATCCAAGCCACCTCGGGAGGGCGGGGCGCCATGTCGAGCAGCTACTGGTCCAATTTGCCATTGCTCTGCCACACTCAGTTGGCATTTAGAGAGGTCAAATTACCGGTGCAGGAGGCTCGATCCCATCTAGATCTATGATTGGCTGAGATTGAGGGCAGGCACCGAGACTTGCAGAGTATCAGTTGGTCGGAGTTGTTGTCAATCATCAGGAGCCGACTCCTCCCGGTCTCCATTTGGCCAGCGGCTGAAAAAAATTTCGAGCTTTTCCAGAGAGGACATTGTGGCTTCCCTAATTGCTAGCTCTGGAGATCCGCATCAACAAGAGAAGTCAGCCTTATTTATCATCCAAGAAAGCCTTCTCTTTCCTTCCATTAGCTAGTTAAGAAATTTACAGACAAAACCATCACGAGGTAAGCGCTTGAATAGTTCAATTCGCTCATACCCCTAGGTTGTTGACGAGAATCTATTGGCGGTTCTCAGAATGGAGCGTTCCTCGGGAAGGCGGAGAAATATGGGATGGGCTCCCGCAGCTTCCCCGAGCCCCATGCACATCACCCCGGGCTCCGTGTGCCGGGTGGAGAGCAGCTGTTTGCCGAGGCCCACGGAGGCTGCACCCGGGTATCCAGCTCTTTCGTTGCTGCGATTGGCCTTGAACTTGACCTCAGGCGGGAAGTGAGCGTGGTGGGACCGGGGCTAGTAGGGTGGGCAGAGTCTGAGGGAGGGATAGAGAAAGTGGGGAAACCGAAGCCGCCCCAGATTCCCTGCAGCGAGGCCCCCCAGGTGCGCTCCAGCCCGAGGGAGCAGGCGCGGCCACAGCGGGACCTATTTCCCGAACTGAAGACCCGGGCGTGCCCGGAGGTCTGCTGGGCTGCGCTGGCCCGGAGTCCTGCCGCGTCCAGATTCGGCCACGGCCAGAAAACCAACTCAGAACCCTGGGTTTGTAAGGAGATGGGTGTTGAGGAGGATTGCGGAGCGCTGGTGGTTCGGATCTGAGGGCTCGTGTTTTGCTTTGCTGGGAAAGCACCGTATCTTAAGGCCAAGTGGCTCCTGGTGCCTGTTTCTGTAGATGAGCGCATTCACCCGGAGGAGACAAAGATGAGGCTGTGGGTAGAAGCAGCTAGACGATTTCGAGTCTCAAAAGCGCCGCTAGTGTTTTGTGGTAGGAGCTGGAGAAATAGTAACAGCAAAAGCCCCCAGCCTCACTCCAGGTGCCTCCGGTGAGAAAAGCAAATGTGCCCTCTGCGGAACCTGGACCCCAGGGAGAAAACAGTGGGGGCCGCCCGAGATCTGCAGGGCTGCGCGGAAGGGAAGGTGTTGCCCTGCTAGAGTGTGTTAAACCTTGTAAAAACTGGAAACCAGATCACCACAGTATGACAAATGCCATTGAATACGGAAGCTTTGAATAATGAGTTCTTGTTAATAACTGTTTTCCTTGCAATCTGAGTCTCTTTTTCCTTGACAACGTCAGCACCCCTTTCACAGAATTGAGTAGTAAGTACTTTTCATTACTAGTCTCAGTTCGCATGTCTAAACAGACACCTGGAGCTCACTGGGGGTTTTGTTGTTTTCTTTGCTCCTGTAAGCGAATACATTTGCTTTCCTCCTAAAAGGAGGTAAGGACATTGAGTGCAGATTTGCTAAAATACATTTCAGAAGTTTTTCAGATGATTTTAGTTGCTTATTGGAGTGCAGTGGGTTTTCATTGGTGATGATAGTAAAGACATTTGGAGTTTAAGAATATTAAAAATCGGCTGGTGATGTCCCTTGGACTTGGCCGGTGAAGTTGCCTGGTGCCAAGCCTGCTCCTTGAGTTCTACCACCAGGATGGCAACACAAGGCGCACCTCCAAGACGTCCTCTGACCTTTGCCGGCTTGCACTGGCACACACAATAAACAAATAAAATGAAAAAAATATTAAAAATTACCTTGTGTTTCCCATTATGGTAAGTTAGCACAGTGCCACTACGCGGTTAATTACCGCACAGGGTTCCAGGAGAGAGGAAAATCTCAGTCATATCAGTAATGCTGCTTGCCAGAACTCCCGATTCTGTCAGGGCTTGGTTAAAGTAGCAGCAGTAAATTTCCCATTTGAACTGTTTTGGGCATTCATCAGCAGTTGAACTCAAATTCCCCATGCCAAAACCTGCTATGGAGACAGTGCCTCCTTTTTCCAGAAATAAAATGGAACAGCTCTGGGAGTTAAACTGCTGGGCAAGCATAACACGGGAGAAATACGAAGAGTAAAATTGGTCTTGCAGCTGTGTAGGTGGGCGCTTGTGCTGTAAATTCAAAGGGTGGTTTCAAAGGTTGACAAGGCAGCTGCATTTTTCAATCCTGATGATTTTGTTGTTGGGACAGGATCTCAAGTAGCCCAGGCTGGCCTTTAACTCCTGGTCATCTTGCCTCCACACCCTAAGTGGTGAGATTCTAGAGGGTAGACCACCCCACAAAGCTCCTTTCCTGATGTCTTTGGCCCGGGATTGCTGCTCCGTAGAAGTGAGTTTCACCAGTGCTGTCTTGAAGCAACTGTGCCGAGGACATCACACGGCTTCTTTAGCCTCTTGGCTGAGATTCCTGATAGATGGAGTTACTTACATGGGGATAACTTCGTTCTAACACTGACTTCTTTCTTTCCTTTCTGGTCACTTTTAGGTATCAGGTAGAGGAAGAAGGTAGGGAGACTGGCTTAGTCACAGGACTCATTGTGAAAATGGTGGAAAGGCATGTTTTCAGACGTTTATAATAGATAGAATACATAAGATATTTTTAATTATGTGCATGCACACATATAATTTTAAAGACCAATGTTGATTAAATTGTGATACTCACATTTGTGTTTTGATTGGGAAATAAAGAATTTGAAATAGTTCAGGCAAGCATTCTTTCTTCCCCTTTTATGTACAATTACCTATATATTTGTGATTGTTATGCTGTATAGCTAGGATTCCAAACATATTATGTATCTTTACTCTCTCCCTTACCATAGTTCAGAGTTACTTTACCTTACCATAGTTCAGAGCAGACTGTGCCCTGTGCATCTGTGTATGTGCTTTGCGTTCCTTGCACTTCTCTGGGACATTTTTGTGTAATAAACACAGTAAAGGGGTGATTTCACTTTGAAAGATTAAATATAATTGTTTAAATGGCTTACTAACATTGGTTAGCTTAGATTTCTAATCCTCAGATTTACATAACTCTCCCTGATTAGTAACAACTTGCTAAGTAACTGCCTTTTAGTGGACAACTGATAAGCTTATCCCAGCTCACTGCTGCTTGCTGGCCTGACAGACAAAGCCAATGCTTGGGCATTGGTCAGGCTGTTCTCCATTCTGTTTAAGGGCACAGCATTTTGTTTTGTTTATTGCTGTGTTTTAAGTGTTTGTTGTCTTTCACACTTCCCTTCTGCTCCCCCCATCTGCTGTTCAGTTCATAGTCATTTCTGCGCGTGTTCCAAGATCTCTGGGTCTGATGGTGGTTTTGTTTTTGTTTTTGTTTTTCCAAACTTGAAACAGGGGATGTCTTTCTTGATGTACAAAGTTTTGTTTGGTTTGGGGTGAGGGTGTTTGCTTTTCTCTTGCTGTTTTTATCTTTGTTTGGGGGCTGGTTAGATTTTGAGTTGAGGGTCTTCTGCAAGCTAAGACCTAACTCCACCATTAAGTTAGACTTCTGGGTTGTGTGGGGGTTTAATTGAGAGTTGTCGTGTAGCTTGGGAACACAAGTTGTCTTTGAATAGTTTTTTTGAGGCCCTAAAAGGGATCTGTGTGGTTTAGTTTTGGTGTGGTTGGCGAAGGAGATGGAACCATTTGAATCTGTTTGTCTAGGTGGTGATGACCTAGTTCCGGAGCTGCCCACACTGAATCTCAGCCAGCAGAATGCTCTCCAGCACGTGTTTCTTTATAAGTGCTCTGCTAACTTTCTGGAGTGACAGTGTTGATAATATAAGGGAAGGTTAAATTGATGGTAACTGTTAGTTTATATAGGCTCAAAGGAACTGTCCACTTGTACTTTAATTTTATCATTCAGTAATATATCTTGTGAACATTTCTTCTCTGATGAGAAAGCAGTTGTGTTTATCATTTGACATTTTTTGAGGGTTAGAGAGAAGCGTAGGAGGGCAAGAGAATTCTAGAAGAGCTGTCTTAAATCTTCAGTCATTTATCTGCTGTCCTGTTACTTTAAGGTGGGTGCATGCCCAAAAAGAAAGTGTGCACAAGCTAACGTCACCTAAACAAACTTATTTTTTTTTATTTTTCACACATATTGCTTCATCTGTTAGAAGTAATAATTACTGCTGTGCCAATCACATCCATCAGTGATTAATACTTCTAATAAATACCACATAATATTAGTTTGAAATTTCTCTTTGCTGGCACATATAACTCACATATTTTTTTATTGAAACCTGTGACTCGGGGAAATGGTAAGAAACATTTGTTTGGGGCCAGTGAGATGGCTCAGAGGATAAAAGGTGCTCGCTGCCAAGACTGGTGTTCTGTCCCTGGAGGCTACATGGCGGAAGGGGAGAGCCAGCTCCCTTCAAGTTTTTCTCTGACCTCCTCGTAAGCACCAAGGAACTTGCACTCGACGCCCGTGTATAAATAGATAAACCAATAGGTGTGAAAAATGAATAAAAACCGAATAAGTTTGTTTGGGTGACTTCAGTTCAGGTTGCTCTGTGTAACATGAGGGGGCCTGTTTGTTGGGGGTTTTTCTGTCCTGCCCGCCCCCCCCCCCAGATGTTTAGTCCCAGAGAAAAATCACACTGAAATCTGTGTAAGTTATAATGCTGATTGGCCCATTAGGTCAGGCTACTTATTAGCTAACTCTCACATCTTGATTAACCCATTATTCAGATCTATTTTAGCCATGTAGCTCAGTACCTTTTTCAGTGGGGCAGCTTACATCCTGCTGCTTTGGTGATCTGGGCAGGAGTGGGAGGAATCAACTTCCTCCTCCCAGAATTCTCCTGCTCTCCTTGTGTTATTTCCACTTCCTGTCTGGTTTTCCCACCTACACCTCCTGCCTGGCCAATCAGCGTTTATTTAAAACATGATTGACAGAATACAGACAGTTCTCCCGCACCACTTCTTCCTCTTTAAAAAAAAAAAAAAAAAAAAAAAAGGAAAATATCCATAGTCCAGTTTTTGGGAATATGGGTATAGTATTCCAGGCTACGGGGGCACTGATAAGGACTAAACATCTGGGGGAGGCGGGCAGCACAGAAAAACCCCCAACAAACAGGTCCCCTCATGTTACAGCTCTGGGTCTTGAAGGAGATGGTGCTGTCAGGCGCTCTGATAAGGACTCCATGGAGGGTGGCACCTTAACATCAGGAGGACTTGTGAGAGGGGACAAGTACACTCTGGCAGGGAGCCAGAGAGCAAAGTCAGGGACTGGCTGGGTCTTCCAAATAAGTTGTTCTATTGGGAGCTAATGGGTCGCCGAAGTATGACTTGAAATTTTTATGAGCCCAGTGTGGGGTTGAAGGTCCATTAACACCCTGGAGAATCGCTAGTGTGAGTCTCCACTCAAAGACTGACGAAGCTGGGCTCTGGTGTTCACTGGATCAGGAGGGGAAATGTCCCCTAAAGAAGAGGGCCTAGCTTATTAGATGATGTCACCCATACTTAGGATGAGTCTTTTGCCCTCCATTTGCTGACCGAGCACTAACTCATTTCTCATGGTCTCTGAAAACATCCTCACAGACACACCCAGGATGTGTGCTGCCAGTTTTCTGTGTATCTCAAAATTTGGTCAAAATATTTTTATTACTTTAAAAAAAAAGAATTGCATGCAGTGTATTTTGATCATACTCAACCCCCCACCCCCACACACACTCTTCCTCCTAACTTTTCTAAAATCTACTTCCCAGTCCCCACTTTTGCCCTTAGGTCATTTTTCCCACTTGACCACTGTTTCCAGTTTATATCCCATCAATTCCAGATGTGGGGCCTTCCTGAGCATAGTCAACAGACCAGCTGCTACACCTGTAAAGAAAAACTGGCTCTCCTTCTCCCAGAATCCACCAGCTGTCCACAGCACCTCAGGGGTGGGTTGGGGGAGTACCCATCAGCCCTTCCATCCTAGAATGGTGACTGGTTTGGTCTTGTGCAAGCAACCACAGCTGTTCTAAGTTCGAGAGTGCAGCAATGATGTCAAGTTTAGAAGACACTGTTTCCTGGCACGCCTCCCCAGCGGCTGGCTCTTAGACTCTTTCTGTTCCATCTTCTTGGATGGTCCTTGAGGGGAGAGGTGTAGTATAATGTCCCACTGTTGTCTGGGTGTCCCTTTGATCAGTTCTGCATCAGTCACTGTCCACACACAAAGCAACATCAATGAGGTCTGAGAGCGGCACTCATCTCCGGGTATAGAGATAGGACTTTACAAGGCAGTCTCTGCGGACAAAGTGTGTGGTGGGTGGATTCAGCAATGGGGTCTTACCATATAGTTCTAGTGGGCAACCAAGAGCAATCACAGCAGCCTGGATTGTGTAAGGAGTTTCTGGTACACCCCTGACAGACAGCCAGGGGCAGCGGGGGGCGGGGGGGGGGCTATCCTACACCCAGCCACGAACTTTTATTTGGCTACATTTGGCTTCCAGAAGTGGTAGCACCTCCTGTGTACAATTTCTCTCTCCCTCTTCCATGACCCCCAGAGGATATTATATGTATGTGTATTAGGCAGTTTGTATGACTTTTTCACACATCCTTAGTGTTAGCTATCCCTCTCCCTCCCCCCTCCTCCCACCTAGCTCCCATCCTCATCAGGATTTCTAAGGGAGTTCTTTTGTATTGCATCTTTCTTTGACTGTTTTACCTGCTGACCAGGTTAATGGCCCTTCCCACCCTTAGCTAAAGTGAATTCACAAAAATTCACCTGAAAGTTGTTGTTTAAAGTTTGTAGTGTGGGCTGGAGAGATAGCTCAGAGGTTAAGAGCATTGGCTACTATTCTAGAGGTCCTGAGTTCAATTCTCAGCAACCACAACCATCTGTAATGAGATCTATGCCCTCTTCTGGCCTGCAGGCATACATGTAGACAAAACACTACATGCATAGTAAATACATTTAAGAATAAATAAATAAAATTTGTGATGCATTTCTACATATATGAACTCCAGCTGACTTTTTTGTGAATGTTGATGCATTTTGGAGAGATTAATTGATACCGTCATTTCCACAGGCCCTGAACAGATAGATTTTTTTTTAAAACTCATTTTTATTGTGGGATAAATTTCGACTGTTTGTTTGAAACAGTGTTCTACTGTGTCTCCTAGACTGATCTTATTTCATTGTCCTCAGTAACTAGCACCACAGATGCGAGCCACTGCAGACACAATCCTGGTTTGTGTAGTTGAGAATCATATAATACCATTTTCCAGCATGGAGTGGGAAGGGATGCTTCATTTCCCAACTGAGGAACTCTGGACAACAGATGACCTCTGGGAGAGGAAGAGTCAAGTTTAATGACTGGCTCCCCGAAGGTCAATTGTGCCCCTACCCAGTGGACCCACACCCAGGAGTACTTGGGTAACTCAAATTGGAGTTGATGGATTATTTTTTAAAAAGAGGACACCAAGTATGGGGCTGGGAAGTAGGGTGGATCTTGGAAGCATTGGTGGGAAGAGTTAGGTGAATATGACAAAAATACACTGTATGAAATTCTTAAAGAATGAATAAAAATATTTAAGGTAAAAAGGAAACCCTGATCCCAAATTGTGTCTTTGTTAAACTTGGCTACTCTTTGAGTATAGAATTATTATAAATATTCTAGCAACCAGCCGTTTTTCCTATTCCGTCCTTAGGAGAGTCAGTTGTTCTTGTTAACATTTACAGTATCTGTCTTCATAACGACTGAGTTTGCGAGGAAAGGATCTCTACTTCCAGAGTGTAACTTGATGACCAGCATTGTGTGATCACGGCTGAGTAGCATGTACCGTGTGACCTTGCTTCATGCCAGCTGAATTAACATGTTCATTTTGGCAAGGCCCCAAAGTGATAGCAGGTTAAATCGGAGATACATGTGTTGTTTGTATATGCATATTATCCAAATGTTATAGAATTCAAACACTGTGAAGGGGGTAGGTAAATTATTTGATTCAACATTCTCAAGAATAGAGTGTCGGGTCCGTAAACATGCCTGCACGCACGCGCACACAGGATGTCAGACTCTTTATGGCTTTTGTTTCTGGCGTCTGATGATGTATTAGCAGCGTTTTGGATTATTGACTATGACCTTGTCTTTGCCCCCACCCCTAGGTGCATCAATCTTCTTCAAGGAATTCTGTATTGCTCTGTCTTTCCCTGTGACTGAGGCCTTTGGCGTTGCAGTATGTTGTCGGCGGCCTTAACTACTTTGGCCAGAAGTGGTGGGAACCAGGTGAAGAAGAGAGTATTGCTAAGCTCCGTCTTCCTGCAGGACAACAGGCAGGTGATTCCTGCCTGCTACAGCTCCACCACCGAGCCCAGGTGTTCTCGATTTGACCCCGATGGAAGCGGGCAGCCAGCCACTTGGGACAATTTTGGGATCTGGGATAACCGCATCGATGAGCCAATTCTGCTGCCACCTAGCATCAAGTATGGCAAGCCAATCCCCAAAATTAGCCTGGAGAACGTGGGCTGTGCTTCCCTCATTGGCAAACGGAAAGAAAACGAAGATCGATTTGGGTTCGCACAGCTGACAGAGGAGGTGCTGTACTTTGCAGTATACGACGGGCATGGGGGACCGGCAGCTGCTGACTTCTGTCACACGCACATGGAAAAATGTGTGATGTATGTATGATGACCTTGGTGTTGCAGTTCCTCTAGGCTGTTGAAATAGTCTCCTTGTGGCTGAGATAGCCAGTGCAGACCAAATTCCTCGAGTGCTCACGTGCCACTGTATCAGTGTGTGCGGTAGTCAGCGTGGCGGTATACCTGTTCGCCCTTTGAGAAAAGCGGTTGAGAATCTGCGCCTCTAGATTACCATTTCCAGTAAATTATAAAGTACAAAGATAACTTGTGAGAAATTTTACTCGTGTGTGTGCTCACCTGTGTTTGTGGTAATTTGTGTGTGTGAGTGTGTGTGTGTGTGTGAATGCGTGTATGCACACGCGTGTGCGTGCATCAGCACGTGCGTGTGTGTTCGTGCAATCATCTGTGTGTAAAGGCCAGAGGTTGACGTCAGTGTCTTTCTATATCGTTCCCTAATTTACATTTTGAGATTGAGTCTCTTGCTGAACCTGGAGTTCACACATTTTTTAGCTAGACTGGCTGGCCCATGAGCCCCTAGGCTTCTATGTAAAGCCACATGTTGTCTTTAGATGGGAGGTAGGGATTTGAACACAGGTCTTCATGTTTGCGCAACAAACACTTTACCCATGGAGCTATACCTTTGTGTTCCTAAAGAAGTATTTACTCTTGTCAGCCAAGAGAAGTTTACTTATTGTCTTAGATACTTTTCTGTGAAGACACATAGTGACCAAGCAACTTATAAAAGAAAATTTATTGGGGACCTGCTTACAGTTTCAGGAAGTTAGAGTCCATGACCATGATGGTGGGCAGCAGCCTGGCAACAGCCAGCAATAGCTGAGAGACGATATCCTTATGTACAAACCGGAAGAGAGAGAGAGAGAGAGAGAGAGAGAGAGAGAGAGAGAGAGAGCTGGCTAACTTGGAATGGTGTGAGTTTTTGAAACCTAATCCTTTCCAAAAAAAAAAAAAAAAAACAGTTCCACCAGCTGGGGACCAAGCAGTCAAATACATGAGCCTCAAAACATTCATTATGTTTTTGAGACTCACACCACTTCTAGAATTAAAGAGAGGAGACAATGTGGTATTATGGTCATGGGCTACTGTTTTACCTTCCAGTGTATAGTTAGAGGTAGTTTGTCAGTTGAGTTTTGCATGATTTACCTCATTCTACAAACTCAGTGATTTAAGTCAATCAGGGTTGCACTACTAAGAATTCTTTAAGAACAGGAAAGGACTTGAGGATCGTGAGATGGCTCAGAGGGTAAGGACCTGAAGCTCTTTTTTTTTTATTATTATTTTTTTCAATTGAGACAAAGACCCAACCACTTAAACTATATCTTCAGACAGCCTTGTTTGTTTTTCCGAGGTAGAGTTCAACATCCGAGGCTGGGTTAGAACTGGTTATTTAAAAACAAGGACTCCTGATCCTCCTGCCCTCGCCTCCTAAGTCTTAGTATTATAGGCGACCACCAGCACCACTTCCCCAACTTAGATTCTCATGCCTTTGCCTTGAAGAAGCCTAGGTTTGATGCAGCTCAGTTAGTCCTACCTAACAGGGAACTCTGAGTTGCCTCTCCAGCACCGCATACCCTCATGATGGCATGAACCTCAGCCCAACAGTGACACCCTTCATGATACTTAGTGCATTCAGAGACCAATATATGGTCCTCAGTTCTTGAATCCTCAGCGAAAGCGTCTGAGAGGAAAGCGTGAGGCCTGTTGTGTGGGGTGACTGCTGGGGCACTGCCTGAGGAGAGAACCCCCGCAGAGTGATCGCAGCTTTCTTTCCTCTCCCCAAAGGGATCTGCTTCCTCGGGAGAAAGACTTGGAAACGGTCCTGACCATGGCCTTTCTAGAAATCGATAAAGCCTTTTCCAGTTATGCCCACCTGTCTGCTGATGGTAAGCCAGTCAGGGCATGCCTCAGAGCCTTAAGGATTGGTGGGGAAAGGGGAAACCGAAGGGGAAGGTCTTCAGTGGTGGGAATGTTGTTGCATATTTGCTTCTGGGGAGTTTTTCCAGAAATAATTTTATACAAAGAATACTTTTAAATGCTGTTTAGAATCTGAACTGATGTCAGGGTCCCACTTTTATGTTCGACAATGACCTTTCAGAAGGGGACACTCCAAAATGGTTGTTACTGAATTTTAATTTTAAAAAGATTTTAAAATGTTTCAACCCATTTGATTAATAGTTTTATGGACAAGATGTCCATACTAAGAGGATCTCATCCCCCTGTCAGACCACTAGTTCAAACACTCACAGGATAATCCCATCTGCAAGGTTGATAATTGTTCAGCATTTACTGCAGGGGATCAGAGAGAGGGATTCGTGGGTAAAGGCGCCTGCCACCAAGCTGCATCACCTGAGAGTTCTAGCCCCAAGACCCACATGGGTAAAGGAAAGAAGCAATTTCCATATGTTCACTTCTGACCTTCACACATGTGCTATGGCATGTCTGTGTACACTTAAAAACAAACACATACGTGCACACACAAAATAAATGAATATATATTTTTAAAAAGAAGAATATTAGCAATAAGTCCTAAGTCTAACAGAAAATGACTGATTGGCACCCATTTGTATCGTCAGAAGGGAGATATTTGTCTTCTCTTTGTCCATCTTGCAGATTTCCTATGGTAACTAGTGATATTTTTGGTTTTGTTAAGTATAAGGACATGACAAGTGTATTTAAAAAAAACTCATGTACTGTGTTAAGTTTTTAAAGTAAATGTTTTTTGTTTTGACTAAGTTTATCAAAATAATTTCAGGAAAGTATATCCAATATTTTCTAGTTAGCTCACCAAAAGTGCATTGATAATAAAGTTAATTTTGCAAGTGTCTGCAGCAGACATGTAATGTGTGCTCCTGACCTACTGGCTACAGCATTGCGGGGGAGTGTTGCTCTTAGTTCTCTTTCCTTTTAACCAGCAAAGTGCCCCCCCAGGAATGCCATTTTCAGCCAGACGGCGATTCTCCCCATTTCACACACAAGGAGCTCCAACTCAAAGAGAAGAAATGGACCTTGTTCATTAGCATATTTAATAGCAAGAGAGGGGAAAGGGTGGCCCTAGGATAGCTGAGTGTACCATTTAAATATCAGCCTCCCCACCCCATCCCTGTTGAACTCAGGGCCTTGGAACATGCTAGGCCAGCAGGTTCTGCCACTGAACTGCTCCTCCAGCCCCTGCCTGCAACTGAGACACTTACCATCACACTCCCCAGTACACTTGATGGTCCGTCCATTCTTTCTCCATTTGTCTACACATGTAGTTTTAACTTGGTGAGTTATTTGAAATCATTTTGTCTTCTTTCTTTTGCACACAGAATTAGCTCCCCTTCCTTTAGTGGGGACTTGACAGAGGGTGAGGTTTCTGCTTAAGATTTAGCTTTTGTTCTCTTAAAGAGTAAAACATATAAAGAGGAAGTGAAACAGTTTCTCATGGTTTTACTTTTTTGGGGGTGGGGACAGGGTCTCATTAAGCTTCCCAAGCTGGTTTGGAGCTGGCTATGTAGACCAGGCTAACCTCAGACTCACAGAGGAAGGTATGCACCACCACATCCAGCATTTTTAGAATAACCATTACTAGGGTGGCTGTGAACTTGGCTGCTTCATCACGGTGTTTAAGGGCTGTTGTGTCAGTACCGTACTCCAGCTGTTCTACAAACAGCTGTATTTACTGCCCACGATTTATAGAACACAATGTCTAAGAGCATTGGCATATGGCCAACACCAAAATTCATTAACCCTTCATGAGTGCAGTCAAGCTTTTTTAAAAATGATATAATCAATGCTGGTGATTAAAACCATCAATATTAGACTTGGTGTTGAATTTAAAAACATTTACTCTTAATAATTATAATTCAGGAGATGGAATTTATAACATTTAACTTGTATGTCTATTTTTAATAATCATAATTCAGGAGACTTTGAATTTGACTTGCACATCTTCTAGAGACTTTTTAGATGACTCACACAATCCTGTTGTTAAATAAATAAAATATTATTTATTTCTAATAACCAAAGTAAGATATATTTTGCTACTTTAGTTACTCTTTCATCCTTTGGGATAATCTTAGAACTTCATAAAGATGTCTTAAAATTTATTATTCCTTTTAATGAAGAACTGATTAAAAGGGAACAAAATAGGATGGTACCCAGTGCACTGGTTAGAAAGTGTTTAAAAAGTGTTCTGTGTACTATTGTGCATATCATATGCTTCTTAAAAAACCAGAGTTTGAGAAATATTTTAAAGATATATTTGTAAATATATTTCAGATGGCAAAATAAAGTTACTAAAGACAGAATACTATGTGTTAGTCTTTCAGGGTCAGATTAAGTGAAAATTAGACCTGCCTCACATAAGATTTCAAAGCTATCCAAATTTAATTTTTAATTGAAATATTGAGTTGAAATACTATTTTAGTGTTTTTAAAATGTATTTTAAAGGTAGATAGTACTCTACCTTTATTGTGTATTGTGTTGAGCCAGAGATAGCTAGCAAACATCTCTATGACCATGGTTACCCTTGCTGTCTTTTCTCATTTCTTTGTATCTCCCCCTGCTTTCACTTCCCCTGAGCCCTTGCTGTGAGACAAGAGAGTGGGGATTATTTTTTTAGCAGACCTCATACACTCTAGACAAGTGATCCACCAGTAAACTAGCCTTCCAACCTTTTAGCATCACCTTCAAAATTTTAAATTCAATTTATGTCCATCTTTTTTACATTTAGTGAAACCAGGCAATGAGTTAAAATACCCTCTCACTTCATTTTTTTTAACAAATAACCATTTAAAACAAAACAGATGGCAGACAAAAAAGTTATACGTGTCAAGATCACCAATTTTAAATAAATTTTGCAGCAATATTAGTTTATATGGATTATTATTTACAAGCTTAATAATCACTGGGGTGGCATTAGATTTTACTCTTTTTGTTGCTGTTCCAAACTGTGGTCGTTTTCCTTCTCTTCTCTCGTCCTGCAGCACTGCGGAAAGAGAGAGAGCAGCAGAAACACCTGCTTTTGGTTGCATCAAGTTACAAACATGATAAAAAAAAAAATCTTATCATTCAAGAGCCACACTGGCCTTCATATCAATATTGTATTTAAGTCCTCCAACTGGAAACAGTTCTTCCTGAACTTAATTCTTACATTATATGCTATGAACAAATGTCTTGCGTTCTGTTTCTGGCATAGGGGGTGTTTTGATTGCCTCTCCGTGTAAATTGAAGCTCCAGTCAGCTGGTGTAAACTATAGTTTGCATACACCCTCAAATATAAATTATTTTGTTTAGGGGACAGTTATAATATTGCTATGAGCCAAATTTACACTGCATTGTTTTCTGATGCAATAAAAATATTGAATTTTCTGTCTTCAAGATTGAGTGTGTGTGCAGGTGTGCACTCACGCATGCACTCGCAACACACATATGCAGATACATGTCTGTGTCACCACTGGTGTTTTGGTACAGATGCATATGTGCGTACTTTTTTTCTGTCTTAGAGTTACAACACTATGAGAAATGTTTGTCTGATGGAAAAAAATAGATCAGCAACCAGACACTATTAACTTGAAGCTGCTGAGTTTTGAAATCATTGATGTAGCATCTCCTGGTATAGTATGTGATTTACGAGCGAAATGTCCCCTACTAGAAATCCTCCTCCTTATTTGTAGCTCTCTCTCTGCTCTCCTTTGTGTTACAGGTTTGTTGTGTTTGAGCGTAATCTCTGGGTGAAATTTCCCTTTGCCTCTGTGCATGTTATTTGTGGCAGAGAACTGTGCCCCCTCAGCAACTCTAGACCTGGAGCCTGTGGACTCTATCTGCTGGACTTCAGCGGAAAGAGAGATCTGCTTAATTTTGTCTCAGGCGAAAGAGGCTCCCAGCTCCTAACCTAAACTACTGAGACGGTCCCATTTCCTCCTTGTCCCGCTAATGAGACGATGTACGGTATAAAGTATCCAGTGAGTGTTAAGACTTCCTGAAAAATGTCTTAGTTTTCTAGTTTTGTTGTTAGGGCAGACAACGGCAATTGTTACCTCTGTGTTAACTGTTAAATTGAAATGAGTGCTGATTTACTAATTTATATTCTTAGATGCATATCAAGCCAGAATCAACGGTTAGTTTTGAAACCTTCCCCATATATCCTGAGATTTTGAAACTGGGAAGGTGAGTTGATAAAAGCCCAAAGTCTTTTAAATTCAGAGGTGAGAGAGCTGGGAACTACAGCCCAAACTGAAATTTCACTTATACATGCTAATTCTTTTGTCATCTTCAGTTAAAGATCACGTTCTGAAAAGCTGTTGATGAGAGCTAACGTGAAGAGTTCAGAATTCCCTGGGCTGGTAGCATCTAATGCATGCCTGACTTCTCCTCCCTGCCTTTTAAAACCATTTGAAAGTAGATCGTATAATTGACTGAACTGTAAATAGTCTATTGTTGTATAGACTTTTGACTAATATCAGGTTGAAAGTTGTAACACTTGCAAGATAAGCATCACTGGTCCTTATGTTAAAGCATTTCTGTCATGTGCTGACGTACATCTCAACATTGCTGTGATATGATAGCATTGCTTTGATCTAATGGTTCCAAAATCAAAAGATACATGGGAAGATAGCGCAATTGTAGATGCCGTTTCTCAGTGAACTTAGCATGACTACAAAAGATTGAGTAGACGTCATCCATGCTTTTCCATTTTACTTTTCTGATTAAAGCAGGCATTTTAATATAATGACTGGAAAACGTATTCATCTCTTTCTAAAATGCATTATTTGGTGACGTTTGAAAAGTTGTCTCTAAAAAACATCTTGGAAAGACTTGACTGTCATTTAAATCAGTTATAGGTTTCTAAATCAGCTCATAGCATACAAGTCACCTTTGGATGGTCAGGAAGCTTTCTACAAATATTGCATAGAGCAACAATCAAGTGATTGGATATAAGATTCCTACTGTAAAAGAAGAAATAATCCAATTAAACTCTTGACAGTGCTTCAAAGGATTAACAGTGTTACTAGAGATAAATCCTGCTTTCAATGAGTTACTTCTCAACTTCCTTCACTTCGCTGTATTGTCCTTCGGTTCAGAGTTTCATAGTCATTCCACTCTCCACAAGGCCTGATGCAACTTAAACGATTCTACCAGTGGTAAACACCACAGAACAGGTGATGTTAGAATAAACCAAAGGAAGACGCACAAAGGTGATTGACTTGGGGAGAAAAAGAGCGGCAGCCTCAAGCCTTGTGACGTTGGGCTTTCCTTGATGGCAGAGGAGATGCACATTGCTGACATATTCCTGCCCAGGCAGGGCTGCAGGAGTAGCAGCTGGCTATGCTCATCTGCTTTGGGCTGCAGATTCTGTTATTGCATACTTTCGGAGCTATTCGTGTTGAGTATGTCATGTTGATGAGGAACTAGAATAAATTTCATTCTTTACCATTCAGATCTAGAATCTAAGGGGTGGGGGGGTGACTTTTCTTCAGGTATAGAGCCAACAAAGATCAAAACCAGAAATGGGTATGGTTCTTTAACTGTTTTAGTGTGTGCATGCGTGTGCGTGTATGTGCGTGTGTGTGTAAACATTTATAAATTGTCATAGTTCTAGAAGGTAAAAGTGTTCACTGTAGAACTTGAAGAGCAAATGGTCTGTACCTGGCGTTTCTCTCCTCACCTATTAACTAGTACTACTTTGACTGGACAGGAATAAAAAATGAAAGAGAATGATCCAAATCTCATGATTTTAGAAAGGTGGCCCACCTAATGGGCCCAGCAGATCTGCCATCTGCCATAGCAGCCAGATTAGTGACATTTCTGTGTTTTGTTTTGATACTTGCTATGCACACGAAGGCATCATCATTGTGATGCTTTTTACAGACAGACCGTTTGGAGACACTGATGCTTTGCTCGCCAAATTAGTTTGCCAACCTTTCTGTTTGCATGGAGCCTTGTAACTGAATTAAATAGTTAATTGTTTCTCTGCATGGTCTTACTTGGTTTGTTTGCAGGGCATTTGCATAGCTCTTGTTAAATTAGAACGGTATGGGCCAGCCTTAGGTTACATGCTTCTGTTTTATTCTTAGTAAAAATCCCATATCCAAGCACTTCTGTCACTAACTGATACTCTGTTTTATAATATTTGTAGCAAGCCTCCTGACCTCTGGGACTACTGCCACGGTAGCCCTGTTGCGAGATAGTATTGAACTGGTTGTAGCCAGTGTTGGAGACAGCCGGGCTCTTTTGTGTAGAAAAGGAAAACCCATGAAGCTGACCACTGACCACACCCCAGAAAGAAAGGATGAGAAAGAAAGGTACTGCCGCCATTACCAGCCATTTTATGGAGTGATAGCTATGGTTGCCATAGAAATGGAATGTGGCATTCTCTGTGCTGGTATAAAACTCAGGGACCTCTTTGCAAGCACTGCTGTGCATAGCCACTACCTCAGCCCAGATTTTCTTGTTTAGGGTGGTTTGAGTTTGTCGAGACTGGATCTCACAGTGCAGCCTAATCTGTTTTCTCCTTTCTCAGCCTCTCAAGTGCTGGGGCTATCAGGGTGTGTAAACCATATGTAGCCTAAGTTTTTCATTTTTATCTAATTTATTTATGGACTTAAAAGTTTTGGCATTTACCATGGGCTTGCCTTAAACTCGAAATCCTTCTCAGCCTTCCTGAATTCTTGGATTATGGGTATGGGCTGACATAGGAGGCTCCGGATTTCAATTTTTTAAAAAAAGTTGTTATTTAAGCCAGTGCTTTAATTTCTGATAGTATTGTCATCATCATCATTATGATTAATTTTATCCTTTCTTAACTAGGATCAAGAAATGTGGTGGGTTTGTGTCTTGGAATAGCTTGGGACAGCCCCATGTAAATGGCAGACTCGCAATGACAAGGAGTATTGGAGATTTGGATCTTAAAGCCAGTGGCGTAATCGCAGAGCCCGAGACAGCAAGGATTAAGGTAAGAAGGTCAGAAACACTGGGAATAACCCGAGACTGTCCTGGAAGATTTACCTGAAGGAAATGTGTTTTTTAAGGGGGACTAATGTGTGCAGAATAAACTTTCTAAGTAAGATGCTAGTTTCCAGTCTGAAGAGGGTAATGTCTTTGGCTTTTGTTTTCCCCTGGTAGAGGGGCTCTGTGGCCTATCCTTTCCCGAAGCCTGCCATACATAGGCATTCTCTCAGCTCGGCAATCATTCTTGGCCTCCCTTCTCCACTCAGTTCAACACGCAGTGTAACACCTCTTTTACTCTAAACTGAGCCAAACATGATACAGGTCCCGCTGCTTGCTTCTCTAGAGCTCTTGCGTCTGCACAGTATAATGTAGGCTTTCACAAATGGTAGGGCATGAATGTTCAGAATTCAAGGAAGGATTTCCAGCCTTAAAAAGATGTCTCATTCCAGGTGGTTGGTAGTGCATGCCTTTAATCCCTGCACTGGGGAGGCAGAAGCAGGCCTATCTTTTCAGTTTGAGGCCAGCCTGGTTTACAGAGCTAGTTCTAGGACAGCTAGAACTACACAGAGAAATCCTGTCTCAAAAAAAAAAAAATACTCATTTTATGAAAAAAATACTTATGTAGTATTTGCTTTGTGCCAACCTCTGTTCAAAAGAGATATTACTTTCTTTGCTTTAAAAGGAAAAGAAACAAATTGAGATAAAAGCACAAGTTAAAACTTATAGAGGCTCACACCATCGAGTAATAGAAGGGTCAGCCAAATAATACAAGCCGCATTTAAATCCAGACTCTCAGCATTTGGCTGTCTGGCCTCTTTCTTGGTATTGCTAGGTAAAAGTTTGGTTTGTCCCAGGTGGTATTGATTCTCAGCTACATTTTCAGTTTGCCCATGAACTCTGACCCACATGGCCACTCTGCAAAGTAGATAAAGTTTCCACGCTATTGGGTCGTTGGAAGGCACAGCCTAGTTTTAATCACATCTGTTTGTTTCTGGTTGCAGCTCTACCATGCGGAGGACAGTTTCCTGGTCCTCACCACAGATGGGATTAACTTCATGGTGAATAGTCAAGAGATCTGTGACTTTGTCAACCAGTGCCATGATCCTAATGAAGCAGCCCACGCCGTGACTGAACAGGTGACGTAGCAGAGCTTCTGGTGGGAAATTCCCAGAGAGAAGAGGATGAAGGACAGCAGAGACCTCTAGTCTTTTAGCTTGAGTGTTACAGTGAATTTGAACACAGGGTCTCTCAAATGCTGGGTGAGCACTCTCCTACTGAGCGAGGCACAAAGCCTTGAGAAAAATAGAGATCTTAATGTTTAGCTTTGCATCTTGTTGTTAGTGGAATTGACTTATAGAATGGGATTTTAATAATTCATATTTCAGGACTGGAGAGATGGCCCGGAGGTTAAGAGCCTCCAGAGGTCCTGAGTTCAATTCCCAGCAACCACATGGTGGCTCACAACCATCTGTAATGAGATCTGGTGCCCTCTTCTTGTGTGTAGGCATACACGGAGGCAGAACACTTTATACATAATAAATAAATAAATAAATAAATAAATAAATAAATCTTTTAAAAGATCATATTTCTTGTTTGTTTTTCTTCATTGCCTATTATTTTATCATCATTTTTAATGGTTACTTTAACAACTATATATTAAGTATAATGATATGTTTGATACATACTGATACATTTTTAAACAAGTTTTTCTCTTAAGATTTGTTTGTAAGCCTTTTACATTCCTTGAAGCTATTCATACGAGACATCTTTTAACGCAGTCTGTGAGATCTTTTGATCTGTTTGATGCTAACTGTAACCCTAGCCCTTCTGAACAGTACTGACTCACTGTTTACACCCACTATTTGAAGTGGCTCCTAGACGTGGTTTACAGTCCTGCTGCAGGCATTTTAGTTAACGCCCACTTAACCATTGTAGAAGGAATACTACAAACGTTTTTGTACATACCCATTTCTGAGAGTTTAGATTTTAAGTTAGTATACCCAGGGGTAGGTTTCTAGTATTGTTTTCAGACAAGCATGTTATATTTTGTTCTTTTTTTATTTATCTCCAAAGCTCTTAATTTCTTCAACTAAATTCCTACAGGCAATTTTGTTGGTAAGAATTAGCACTTATTATTAAAGCTTTTCCACGATTGGCACCATGCTAAGGGTTTTGGGTGTGTCCTATTTGGGAGCCACTCAGCAGTGTCTCTCAGTTTAAAGCTGTTTCAGTTGCCAAGATTGCTATAGTGGAGGATAGGAAATAGTTGGATCATCTATTATTCACATGCAGTTAATAACCATAGTGGAACATAGATGCAGGGTTGAGACAGTCGCAAACTGGGTTAGATAATTGCATTTGTTATCTGTGTAGAACAAGTCGACTTTCTGGAGAAAGGATGCTGTCTGTCTGCACAGACGTCCAACGACTCCAGCTCTTTGCCTTTCTCTTTCTCCCGGCTCCTGCAGGCACTGCAGTATGGTACCGAAGACAACAGCACTGCCGTCGTGGTGCCCTTTGGTGCCTGGGGAAAGTACAAGAACTCTGAGATAAACTTCTCATTCAGCAGAAGCTTTGCCTCCAGCGGACGATGGGCCTGACCGCCAGCCTGGACTCAGTGTTCCTCTGCAGCAGGTGTCAGCGGGCATAGCAAGAAACTGGTAATACCCAGAAGGCCACCTGACCTGTGTGTCCTTGTGAACTGATAGATCCCAATGCAGTGTAAGCTTACCAGCCATGGACACGCTAGTATTTTCATAAATCCTCATCACTATGTGCAACTGTACATGCTCAGTGTAAGCACCATGACAAAGCTGTGAAGCCATTGTGAGTCTGCGCTGAGTGGGAGAGGAAGTGGTTTGGTACACTTGATGAATGGGAAATCTGTGTGTTTTGTTTTGTGATGCGAGAGTGCATCTGGGGCTTTCTAAGATTACCAAGCAGATCTGGTTTCTTTTTAATGAGTTTGTTCTTTATTCAGTTGGACAGGTTTTTCTGAATTTTGACAGCTAGTCAGTGCGTTATCTGCAACCGTTTCTCTTTTCTTTCTCTCTGTTTAAAACAGTTCTCACCGGTTGGCCCTGCACTCCTTGGTTCAAGCAGTCTTCCTGCTTCAGTTTCCTGGGTACCTAGGACTCCAGGATGCTCCAACTTACAAGTGTCCTTTTTTGTTTGTTTGTTTTCATTTTTAATGTTTTAGAGACAAACAAGCATAGATTTACTAAAGAAAAGTACTCCCAGGAGATTCAGAAATTCCAAGGGAGGAATACCCACACAAGTGTTATTTTTTAATAAATGTTCCAAGGAGTCAAAATGAAAAGCTTTTCTGTTACCGTATCTTGTACTCTGGACCACTTATTAGTAAGCTTAGCCCTGAAAACTTCTTCAGACAAAAGACACGACTGAAGTGTATCCAGATTTGTAAATAGCTCTCTTGTGTATTTGAACTCTTTTTAACCCCTTCCCCATCCATTCCTATTTTTCTGCAGTTAAATGTGCTATATAGCTCCAACTGTTCCTTAATCTCCCAAGAACATACAGACTCCTTGATCAAACCTTGTACAGGGAAACACGGACAGTGTTTCTGTTTATTGATGGTGTATGTAAGTTTGTTATTGTGTGTTTTGTAAACAGTATATTTGTATCGCTTCCCCTCCCCCAACACACACACAAAGTAAGCAAGTTGGGTCATTTGTTAGTAAAGATAATGTTGCAATGACTCATACTGCTGTAGATAGCTTGAAGCTTATGTCTCCATTTTCCTCATTTCTGAGATTTATAAGGAAGAATAAATCTTTTAGAAAGTGTATTCAAACATGTCAATTTGCTAGGTAAATTGGGAATGTAAACCTATACTTTTTTTTTTTTACAGGCACATAAATTTGCTGTTAAACTGTGAATCCCTAAATGTGTGTTTGGAATTAATCTATAGTTTATTTTCACAAACTATGTAAATTTGGTATATGTGTGGTGAGTGTGTAAATATTTTGAAGTAATATAACATTAAAGGGAACAGACTTATGGAGCCTTTATGAGTTAGCTTTAAATTATTGATATATTTATCCCGAAGGACACTGATTGAGTGGTTTTCTGTAGTAAACAATCAGTGGTTATTATTAGATAACCACTTGGATTAAAAATATATATGGGGGCCAGATGTGGTGGCCTCCACCTATAATCTCAGGACTTGGTGGGAGGAGGTAAGAGAAGCAGGATGGTGACTTTGAGATCAGCCTGGGGCTGCATAGCAAGTTCCAGGGAAGCCTGAGCCACAGCTTGTCTCCCAAACCAAAATATCAACAACAAATGGCTATAAGATACATTGTATTATGCATAATTTATGTGGATAACCAAAGAACAGAAGTAGCCATATTGTGTGGTAATTTGAATATAAAATTATGGGATATGAAAAGATTAGGTAATGTTAAAGGTGACATGGAATTTTGAGGCAGAAACAAGAGAAAAAATAATGAAATATATATGCCTTCAAGTCTAGTGTGCTTTCTTCCTTTAATTTTTGTTTTAAATACCTAGTAGAAAGAAGATGTCTCAAAATAAATTTTTTCATCTTCTTTTTTTTGGGGGGAAATGGAAGAAAATATGTTTTCATTTTACCTGCCTACCCTATTTAGAACAGGCTCAAAAAAAAATTTAAGGTCTTTTCATGGATGTTAGTCAAAAGGAGAAAAACATTTGCCAGGCATGTTAATTTACATGTGCCGTTCCAACACGTAGGAGACTGTGGCAGAGGAATCCTGAATTTGCTATGCGTTACATAACAAGATACCGGCTCAGGAGACAAACAAAACCCACAAGAAAGAGCAGAGTGTTCACTGTCTGAAATGAAGAAGTATAGGGAGAGCAGCAGAGCTGAGACGCTTTCTTGTTGAATCAGGTGTTGGGACAGAATTATGGAAACAACTTTTTAAGAGCATTGAGAACTTGTAAGCTAATGCGCGCATAAAAATGACAGCATTCTGGAGTGTAGCGTTCTGCTGTGTAGCGTTCTGGTGTGTATGTAGTGTTCTGGTGTGTATGTAGCGTTCTGGTGTGTATGTAGTGTTCTACTGTGTAGCATTCTGGTGTGTAGCATTCTGGTGTGTATGTAGTGTTCTGGTGTGTATGTAGTGTTCTGGTGTGTATGTAGCGTTCTGGTGTGTAGCATTCTGCTGTGTGGGCTCCATTTCTGCTCTGAGTTCTTTGCATTACTGCTGCTCCTTCCCCACGCCCTGTAATCCCCCCTTTTTTACTTTGAAACCAGAGGTTAGAGTAAACTGGTGTTTGTATCTATATGTATTTATTTTTGAAAAGATTTGTCTTAAACCCCTGAGTGCTGAGATTATAAGCATGTGCTCCCAGGCCTAGTTTTACCTGGAAGAAATTGAAAACCCTGATCCAATCATCCTTGATAAAGGATAGAAAGTGCTGGTCTCCACAGGGGCTGGGCTGTAGCCTTTCCTGCAGGCTTTCTTAACATGTATTTGTTGAGAACAAACCTGAAGAAACTACAAGTCAAAGGAAAAAAAATATATGTGTCTATATTTTCTAGGCTTTAATATTAAAATATAATTTAAAGAATATAATTATAATCCTAGGTACATGCATGCCTCTGTTCTTGCAAGTGGTACAATAGTGGAAAGAAAGGGACTGGTCTTACATACTCTTTAGTATGAATTTTGCTGGGAGTTTGCCATGTAGGTCTAGGCTTGGTATAAATGATAAAATACAGAAAGTGTAATGGAGATATATATATATATATATATATATATATATATATATATGTTGTGCCTTTCATTTACATGTGGTTTGTAAAAAAAAATCTCTTTTGTGTTGTGCCACCCATTATTTGGTAAAATGTTTTTTAAAGTATTGTGATGTTTTACAAT